GGATTGGTTTTCCCTGCTTTTGTTTTTTTTGGTGATTAAGCATTGAAGTCAGTGTATTTTACGGTTGTCTACGGTAATTTTTTTTTTAGAGAGAAAAGTGCAAAACCATGTATCTTTTTATAATAGTTACATTTTTATGGAATTTACATGTGAAAAATAGACTCCGTAGCCATCTTTTGACAGAGGAACGAGAGAGAAAAAAAAATTTGAGTGTTAGCCGTAATTTCGATACCACTTTTGTGCGCGACGTCAGACTCATGGCCATGAAAATTGATTCCTGAGATCGTCTTATCAAGGGCTATTCAACAGTAGTGGTAGTGTGTCATGAGATGGTTTAGTTAGGGGGGTTAAGCTTCATTTGGAAGTTGGAAACCGGACGTTCAAGAGGTATTTTTTGGCACTGTCAATGTTGGGTGATTGTGTCCTTGCAGAAGTTTAATCCTGGCGGTGGGGGGCTTCCTTTGTCAGGGGCGGTGTCGTCTCCAAAGGTTGGCAGCAGTGGCGAAGGTGAATCATTCGTTGTCGGTTGGTGGTCTCTTTTCGGCAGCTTTACCGCTTGGCTCTTGAAACCTTCTTCCTTCTCTTGTGGTCGTCTCGCCAGATGCGTCGTCTTCAGATGCTTGCACCAGTGATGCTTTGGGGTTTCTTTTTACTTTGCTTTGTGTTAGATTGTAATAAAGGTGTGGCGATGTAGTTCTTGCCACTTTTTATTTGTTGTTTTGTAACAACGGATGTGGTTTCCCCACTGTCCATTATTGGTTATGTCTCCCACTTAGTTGAGTTGTTCATCAACGGTGTAGATTGTTTGGTCAAGTTAGAATCGTATCTATGAAGTGATGTTGATATCCCTTCTAAGTGGGGTTTGGTGTTTTATTCCTTCAGCGCTCATAAGCTTATTTTAATGGGAGGAGTTTTTTCAAATAGAGTCTTAGGTGTGCTCGATTTTAATATGCAAATGTTATCTCTCGTTCTCAGACCTCAAGTATACGTCTGTCACTTTATTGGGTCATTAATCTTATATTGTGTTATTTGTTTATTTATTTTTATTTAAATACAAATTTCCTTTAAAAAATAGTTACATTCTTATTGATTTCACACTCAATTTTAAGGGTTAATTTTTAAAAAATCTCTGTTTTTGGTTATTTGATTAAATTTTTAAACGCTTCATTTATGAGTGGGAGTGCACTATTTTTAACACGAACCCTCATAAATCGGTCTTTAAAATTTAAGCGAATGGCCAAAAACATTTACCTTACAGATTGGGCAAAAAGAATTACGTGTGCTATCGTAAAAAGCTCATTAGATATTGTGTTAAGAAACAGAAACCCACATATGACGAAATAATACAAAAATCTAATGATTCAGAGATGATCACTATAAAAGGGTTGTAATCGACACAGCAGATCGAAAAACACTCATTGATAGTGCTTGTACCACATTATTAGAACCAATGTTGCTCGGTTTGCGAACTGAACGGCCCAAGCATTGGGCGGCTTAGTGCTTGGTGAAAAGTTTCGCTCTCGGTGGAACCAAAACCTATCAACTATTTATTTATTCATTTTTACTTCATATAACACATATAAGTTAAATAATGAAATGGAATGATAAGGATAATTGTTTTATTTGAATTTAAATTAGTTTGCATTTAGTTTATTTTTAGTATTTAGATATTAGATTAGTTAGTATCTTTTATTTTAAAAGTTTGAATTATTATTTATTGGGAGATAAATTCTTAGTTTAAATTATTTAAATTAGATTTTGAATTAGATTATGATTATTGCATTCTCAAAAAGTTGTACCATTGTTCTTCAAAGCATAAATCTATTATGAAATGTTCTGCTGTTTAATAACGGAAAAAAAAAAAGAGGACTTCTTCTACTTGGACACCAACAGGAGCATCAAAGAACCACATGAAACCTTGGCCAAAAACCGTTGGAAATCGATGTTATAAACCGTTTCCATTAGTCAGTGAACTGCCTGCTTTCCTCAACAGGAGCACCAAAGAACCACATCCTTTTTTTTTTTTTTTTTTTCCCTTTCCATCTTCGATTCTTAATTTATTGTCTTCTTTTCTCTTCTAAATCTAAAATGAACTGCCTATCAGTTCTAAATTAATGATAAACTAAATATCAGTGTATCCTAATTATATGAACCCTTTTTTTCCATTAAACATTTTTGGGTTTCCTATATTATATGTGCATTTGGTAGCAAATCAAAATCCATCCTGATTTTTAAAAAAAAAAAAAAAAAAAAAAAAAAGGAACACAAATAAAGAGAGAGATTAGCTAAAGTAAGCTTATAATAAGTAATGAATCTGAATAAACCACGATTAGTGATCCACAATGATTAACCTTTTAACTTTTCCAAAAGCAACCAAACCCCATACTTTTAAACCACTTGAAATGACACAACTTTTATGTCAAAGCCGAAATTTTCTAACGGAAAAAAGCCATATACTTCCTTTACATGCCATATCAAGTAACTTTAAATTCATACCCAGTTGATATTTTTTGGCTTAAGATTTACGTTAAGTTTTCAACTTACAAGAACCAATTAAACCAAAAGGCACCATATGAGAATCTGACAATAGTGACTTGAGTGTACTTGTTACCCATATAAAACTCTACCCCATTTCTCTCCTTTATTTTGACAATGATATATGTGGGATTATATATATATATATATATATGTGTGTGTGTGTGTGTGTCTATATATATATATATATATATATTGGATTATCAATTATCATATCCCACATAATCAGATTGCCCTGGCCTTTTCTGGAGAAAAAGCTGGTGATGGTGGCCGAGCCGAAGGCAACATGTCCTTAATAAGGAACATGACATGTCCTATATTATCCAATTAGACAAGAGAAGAATATCTTTCCGCAAGTGTGAAACATGACAAGGTACTAACTAGATAAACATGAAAACGATGTATGTAGCTTATAATTAATTAGCACATTTTGAGACATAGGAGAAAGCCTATAATAAGCTTTTACAATGACAATTATGTGAGACTTGTCTGGTCCCATTAGAAATGGAACTTTTTTTTTTTTTTTTTTTTTTTTCCTCTCACTCTCTTTTGTTGGAAAACATACAATCATTTTCAGTCTGCAACAATATTTTATCTTGTAGTTTTTCCCTTTTTAACATGTGTATGCACAACCAACGACTAGTGATGTTAAAGAAATAGATTTATTTGGAGTCAACATACGCTATATTCGATATTTTTCCTTTTTAATATAACAAGTGTATGCGCAACAAATGACTAAAAATATTAAAAGCATACTTTGATTTGGGATCAACATGCGTTACACTCTAATGGGATTGACTAGAAATAGTTAAGAACTTCATTCCCGAATCAATAACGGGTAAGGAGTGGACGATGATCCTAACCCTAATTAAAATCATTATTGCATTCTAACCCAAAAAAAAAAAACCAAATTATAAGTTCACAATTGTTTAGTATTTGGATGTCAATGTTGTACTATTCGTCATTGTGAGATCTCTTCTACTAGATGCTCAGATTTTTTGTTTTTTTTTTACGTTATAAATGTTTTTTTTTTCTTTTTTTTTCTTTTTATTTATTTATTTATTTTTTTTTGTAGGGAAGATATTCCCCATGCCCCAACACTGCGGCGATGAGTCTCCGTCCCTGCCCCGCCTGTGAGGTATAGGTGAGGGGGAGAAAGGGAACACGGAGGTCAGATGTGGGGATAGGATCTAGAAGGCTGCCCTACTCGGCAAGTTTACAACTTTACAAATTACAATTATGTTATGATAGTCTAAACTTCACTTGGTCCCATTGTAGTTAGTTCCCAAACTATTACTATTGTAACAATTTGATCCTTACTTTTTTTTTTGTTGGTAAATTTGTCTTAAATTAAATTTTGGAGAAAGTTATAGTCCTAGGAATAAATTTGACAATAAATTTTAAAATTTAGAAAAGGTAATTATGTGAATTTTGATAACTACATAAGGCACAAGACGTTCTTCTTTTTTTTTTTTTTTTTTTTTTTTTTTTTTTTTTTTTTTTTTGAGGAAACAAGACGTTCTTTTCATTACCCTTAAAACTCTATTAAAAATATTTTGCACTTTTAAAAGGATTGTTAAAATCTCAAAGTATCATGCGATAAGAAAGTGACTACCTCCATTAAATTTTAAAACTTTAGTCATAAATTTCAAAATTTTAGCTAATACTAAATTTAAAAATTTTAAAAGTCTATTTCTCAAAAATTGAATTTATAAAATAAACAATCTATAAAAAAATATATAAAAACACTATCACATTCCTAAAAAAATTATATATTTCCATATAACGAAAAAAAATCTTTTTAATTGGAGATATTTATTTATTTATTTATTCTTGGGAATCTTTTGTTGGAAAATAGGCGGTCCTTATTTAAAAAAAAAAAAAAAAGATGTCAGTTTAAGCATGTGAAAGAAACGACGACGTTGCAAACGCACTAACGAAGTACTGTTGCTTAACCGCTATGTCCATATTATCCCTCTGATTTCTGTGGCTGTCGGAGGGGTAGAAATGGAAAATTCTCATGAGAAGAAGAAGGCGCCGGCGCCGGTGAAGCTGAAGCCGATCGAAGCAACTCCGGAGAACTTCGCAGAGTTCGGTCAGGTCATCGAGGCCTCACCGGACGGCGAAGAATTCGGTCCTCAAGACGCTCAGCTCGACCTTAGCCGTGGAATTCCCAGGTTTAAATTTAGAACCTGATTTTCTCTCTCTTAGGGTTTTGTTTCGGACTTAATCCTGATTTTTCGCGTTTCGAGTTATGGATAATCGTGATAATCTCCTGATAGCTAGTAATTTAACTTCGTCGGATGCCAAATTAAACCGCTTATTGGCAGAATTTGATTTTGAAGAATATGAAATTAAAGCTATTTGCTTGATGTTGGATTTAGTAGAAAATCATAATCAATTTTATGGACTTCCTATCTGCTTGAGCTCTTGAATGATTCCAAGTTTAGAAATATGAAAATCATAATTTTAGACCTTGCATTGAATATTCTCAAAATTGTACCTTCTCTCGGGTCAGATGCTAAATTGTGAGGTGCAGAGTGAAGGATTTAGTGAATTAGATAAAGATAATTTAAAGAGAAATTTGTTATTTAAGTGGACTAAAGTTAGTATTTTGACTAAGCGAATGTATAATTTTTGTATCAAATTTAAATTCAAAGATAAAATAGCAAATAACCCAAAAAGAATTAGGAGAACTGGTAAACTAGTATAGTATCAAGAATAATTGACAGTGATGATTAAAGAGTGGAATTATTGAGATTAAAACTAATATATATAGCACTTGTTCTTTCTATGTGGTTAAGTTTTTTGAAAGAATTGGTCAACCAACATGGTGAATACAAGTCAGGTGTTTTCAACTTAAATACAAATTCTGCTTGGCTTTATGAAAGATCATGTGGTTGCTTATTCATTCATATCAAACAGGCTCTATATTATGCGCATTGAGAATCGGCCTTTCAAGTTCAAGACGATCACGCACCACGCAAGTGTGACCCAGTGCTTGGGCTCGATTGGTGGAGGTGTTTGGTACCTTGGAGTGGCTAAGCCATCAATCTTGGACGCAACTGATCAAACTGAGGGTGATCCATGCCAAGGCATTTTAAAGTCAACCTGTGGACACTTCTACATGCCGCCCCGCGTTGAGGATTTCCGCGTTTTTAAAGTTACAGGTTCCAAGTTTCTTAAGCTTAATCGCGGGACCTGGCATGCGGGGCCTATATTCAAGGGAAATGCAATGGATTTCTATAATCTTGAGCTCAGCAACACCAATGTAAGAGCTTTTTCATATGCCATTTTTGCCTGGGTGTTTTCTAAATCCTATAGCTGGGTAGAATTTTGTTTTTCCTTTGCTCATCGTTGTTTTCCAGAATAATTTCTCAAATTGCTTTATTTATTAGATATTTCTTATTTGTATAGCAGCAAGAAATAGCAGCATTAGATTGCATGGCTGGAATGAGATTGAAATCAATATTTGCAGCTTTTTTACCAGAGAGATAAATCTAATACTTAGAAATTCTATGGTGGGGCATTAAATAAAACCTTCTTAGGAACTAGCTAAGTCTCACCATTTTCAGCAAAATTTCCATACTGTTTTGTTTTATTCTATGTGATTCTAATGTGAGTTGACTTGAGAAACGCGCATTATCAGTAAGTACATCCTACCATAGAAAGTACTTGCGTACTAAAAACCATTTACTTTACATTATTTTGCATTGTCAACGCATTATTGATTCCTTTTGGACATGCAAGTTGATAAAATTGATTCTGAACTCAGTGTCCGTATCATTCAAAACTTCATATGTCATCTTCCAGTTTCCCTTTTTTTTTTTTTTCTCTCCTGGCTGAAAGAAATGATGTTCATCCCTCTCCTTTGCTTTCGACAGAGTTAGAATGCTTTTTTATGCGTACGATATTATTAGTGCTTTTTTTTTTATGTGTACGATACAATTTAGTTCTGTCATTGAGCAACCGTTGGGTGCTAAAAACCTCACCCCTACGCTGCTGAATTATCAGCAAGTTGTCAGGCCACTTCAGAAGTAGTTATATCGAGGATTTTGGTCGTTTATTATTGGAGTAAACAAAAGTAGAAATCATTATTTCCCTCTAGATTATGCTTATCCTGACATATGGGGTCGTTTGACTTTGTTTACCTCACACCCCTTTTTCTCTTCCCTTCTCTCTCCATCACATCATCATATTGATGGTCAAAGTGGGGTGGGCTCCTTTGTGTTACTCCTTGTAGTAAAGTTTCTGGTGGATTAACTTGAGTCACATGTTACAATATTTTTTTTCCTCTCTTTTTACCTTGGTCATTTAATTATAGTTTCAGTTGAATTAAAAGTATTCTAAAAACCTCATGATGCCACAGGCTAATATTGTAAACTGATGTATTTTCGCTTCTTTTTTCTTCATCCCTTTGTAGGTGGTTGATCACACAACGCATAGTTTTGCCGAGGAGAATGGAGTCTTTTTCGAGGTTGACGACTAGCTCGTAACATCCTATGCCTCTGTTTCAACCTGTCTAGGTTGTACATTGTTACTCTTCACTTTCTCTGCTAGAGCTGGTTGTGTTACTCCTTAAGATACAGAGGGACATGGTCTATTTTAAGTTGGGAAAATTTGGTATGTATTAATGTATGTTAAATTTGCTATGTCCAGTCCATAAGAGTTGTGTACATTTCAAACACTGAAAATCTGCTGTTGGGTTGCTGAGAAAGATGAGGGAAACCTTTTTCCTTTTCATCTTTGTTTATTAATCTTTAAAAAAAAAAAAAAATTAATTCATCTTCTGACCGTTGAGGAAATTGAAGAGAGAGAGAGAGAGTTAGAGAGATTATGTTTGATACTTCTGGTGAAAAATCTTGCTTTTAAGATTTCCTGCCTTTGAAGGCAAATGATGAAGAACCACCCCACAAGTTATTTTAGTTGTACAATTGTCCCCCGCTCTCCAAACAATATAGAGCAGCAAATTCGAGTTAAAACATTCATAAATATGAACCCAAGAAAGCTAAGTAGTGTTTTATTTTTTTTGCCAGGTACTGAAAAAACATTGCAACTGTCACAAACACTTTATTAAAAAAAAAATGCTATTAAATAAAGTCTCAGACACATCAATCATCAATCATCCTTTCCAAAGGCAGAATATAAAGTAGAATTGCCGGATCTATCAGGATAGGAAGAGATCAAAATTGGTATTAAATCGCTATTCAGCCCCCATCATCTGCACAATTAAGAATCCATAAGCCAAGTAAGAATCCCTTTTCAACTCTAAACAAAACAAACATAAACAAAAGGAGATATTACAATACGCCCAAAACCTAACTAATGAGCCTGACTGGTGACTATTGCGTATGGATCGGATCCGATCGTGTAAATTAGACTGGGTACCAACTTCAAGTCTAGTTATTCACTCATACACTATGCCACCTTTCTGTGTAAATTACGTGGCTTGTATTTTTTTACGGAAGTGATATATTTGAAAACCAATTCTCCAAAAGTGATATTTCCTCTACTTCACGGTGAGTCATAGCATTAGTCTAATCATGTTATACACCCACCTAGTGGGCTTTACCGACTATATTGCATACAATGAATGATAGCCCTTCTCCAATCATGCATATGATAGCGAATGATTAGACCAAAAACCATCAATGATGTGCATAAAATTGCTTAAATAAAACACCAATTCCAGATTAAATTCGAAATAGTATGAAAGAATGAATGAATGACGTGAGAAAGAACAATTGATGTAAGGTTCCAAGACTTTTCATTGATCTCTCTTTTTCTTTCCTTCATAAGACTTTCAATACCCAGATCTTATTTATTATCTACAATTTCCCAAGCTTATCCTAGAGGACATACTCACCTTAAAGATTTCCCCGAACATCCCTTGCAACGGATTTCTACGTCGTACTCCATAGAACTTCTCTGCAATTTCATCTAGCAACTAAAAACATGATCCTACAATTAGAATCTTACATACACAAGGCTAAAAACAAAATCATACTGATAATAGAGCTTAAAGCCGGTCGAACAAAGAAAAAGACGAGGCTAACATAGAGGGGTACTAGAAAAAGCAAATAAGAAAAGTGAAAAGGACTGTCAAATATCGAACAAAGGGAAAAATCACATACCTCTTTGAACGATGGTTCTCTGTCTAAACTTGATTTGTATTTCACTTTTAACATATTAAAAAGGGGCAATGCATCTCTCTGCAACCTGTGTTAAGAAAGATATTAGAAATAAAGTTTAATGGTGTGTTGCATATCTCAAGCACAACACAGATTACACACGCATCGGATAACGAAGAAATGAGAGGTTCTATCTACCGAGTAACACGAAATGAGAGGTTCTATCTACCGAGTAACAAATCTTCTACGTAACATCAAATGGGGAAAGATGGTTGCAAACTTTAGAAAAGAAAGGAATTGAAAATGAATTAGATGTTGCACTATTCATCAGAAGAAAGGGAAAAACAGGGAGCTCCCAAATCTATCTTTCGATCCTCATCACCACAATGAAATTAGAGACAACTTTCCTCACACATAACATAATTGACTTGCGTTCTCAAAAGAGGGACCGG